GTCTTTCAACTTATCCATTGGCTGCCTTATTTCACTAAGGGTTATGTCTAGCATTAGTTCAGAATCTGATTTAATATTGTTTTTTAGTTGCCTTTTTTATCTTTATTTGGGCGTCCTATCTACTACTCTTGATAGAAATCTTCCACGGTTTTTAACAACTCAGCCCTGTTAGTTATTATTCAACCCAGTTTGTTTTTTAATTAGATTATTTGACTCTTTCCAGTATTTAATTTTGTTTGAAGTACTTTCACCCTTTTATTTGTCTGTATCGTTTGTTGGATTTTTTCGTTATTATATTTTCTCAATTTTTTTCTGATTGCTTTCTGCAATTTTTGATTACCTTCTTTATTTCTTCTTTAATTGTATTTATATTATCTTTTATATTTGTTCTTTGTTTCATTAGAGTTTCTCTTCGTTCTTAATTTTTGGGCAATGTTCTTTAGACTTTCTTGGATAGCTTGTGTATTAAATGTCACAAGTTAGAAGTTGTCCTCGTCGTATATATTTTAGGTCGCAAATCCTGCGAATTGGTCAAAATTCTGCTTGTTTTACAGGTATTATGTTAAAGCATTCTTTGGTAAATTCTATTATGTATATAGCATTTTTTCAAAAAGTTTATAGACCATATTTAGAAGTGCAATTGGTTAGCTTTCCCTAGTTTTAAAATGGCGACGATTTTTTTTCTTTTTAGTTGATGGGGAACATTTCCTGTCTAAAGAAGGCCTGAGAAGAACTTTGCAAGTCATTACCTAGTAAAGCTTCCACTGTGCTTTAAGTACTCAGCATGAATGCTATCCAAGCCAGTGATTTTTCTCGTTTTTATTTTATTAAGATTTTCCATGATTTCTTACAGGCTAAAGTTGGAATACTATGTTTTAAGTGGACTTTAAAGACTTGAGGTCTTTTTGAACTTTAATTAAATGTAAGCGGTTTTGGGGTGCTCTTAAGGTAGATATTATGTAATACGTCATTTAAGATGGTGTTACTAAATTGGTTGGTGATCAGGCTTGTCTACTTAAGTTTTTGAAATCTAGATCTTCAACTCTCTCAGTACATTTCTCGCGCTTAGCAGTATAAATGTTGTGGAGTAATTCATCTGTAATTTCCTATTTTCCATCTTCGCAGAATTTTTCATACCGTGTTTTGCTCTCATCAGATCACTGAGGAATGTACTCTTTATGGTACCTCCAGGAATTGCTGTTTTGCTGATTTTATTATTGCTCCTGTCAATATCTCGTAGTAGTATCTAATATAGAACTAATTAACACTGATCAATTAATTTACTACAATGCAATAATAAAAATCAGGCAGGGAAATAAGGATAGCACATAATTCAGAGTAACACGTCTTAAATAAGGTTGCAGATTATGATTCACACTATTTACAATTCTTTTAGAACAAGCATTAAAACTGATATGTTTGATAAAAGTGACAATGGCAAAGATGCTATCAGCAGTAAAATCAAAACGACTCGTCAACCCCATTTCAAATACAAAGGGGGTAAGGCAGGGAGATGCGCTGGAGTATCAGCTTTTTAATGTCGCCTTAGAACAAGTTGTACCAGACGCTTATTTAGATAGCAGGGGAACAATATTTAATAGATCAGTCCAAATTCTAGCATATGCAGACGACGTGGATATTATAACAAGAACTAGGGTGAGAACTGTGGAAATCCTAACCGAGCTAGTAGCAGCAGCAGAACGAATGGGGTTACATATAAATCAAAATAAAACCAAATTCATGGCGACTAACACAAACACAAGAGCTGGAAATGTTGACACAAATTTAACCATCAACGACCAAAACTTCGAAGCAGTCAAAGAGTTCATATATCTAAGGACATCGGTTAACCCCAATAATAACACATCTGAGGAAATAAAAATGCGAATAATAATTGCAAACAGGTGTTATCATGGTCTATCAAAGTACTTAGCTAATAAACGTCTGTCTTAAAAAACTCATATGAGGCTGTATAGAACATTGATAGTCCCCGTTCTCACATATGGATCAGAGGCATGGACGTTAACGAAAACAGATGAATCTGCTCTATCCATTTTTGAAAGAAAGGTGCTACGCAAGATATTCGGAGCGGTCTGTGAGAACGGAATATGGAAGCGTAGATATAACTTTGAACTGCAGAATATCTACAAGCATACGTTTGGTGGTAAAGATATTACCACTATAATTAAGCGAAACCGCCTGCAGTGGGCAGGACATGTAGCCGGGTCAATCGAACATGATAAAAAAGATTCTAACAGCGCAACCCGTGGGAATGAGAAGACGGGGTAGACCAAAGCTGAGGTGCGTGGATGGGGTAACAGAAGATGCGGAGAAGATCGGAGTCGGCAACTGGAAAATGCAAGCAAGGGACAGAACAGACTGGCGTAGAAAGCTTGAGAAGGTCGAGGCCCTCTCTAAGGGCTGTAGCACCAAGATGATGATGATGATAATGATGATTAAAACTACAACTCGAAGAACAATTTTCATTAACATGTCTTAACACTTTTCATTTTTTTTATCCCAATAACCACGTTATAGAAAGGTGTCAAGAGTTCAAAAGTTATTGTTAGATTTTAAAGAAGACTTTGTAAGAAGAACTAAATAGACACGTTTAAAAACTTTTGTAGTTTAGATCTGAATTATAATTTTTTGTTAGACCGTAATTTCACTCGTAATTTTCGATTTCATTTTAACTTTTTTTACGTAATCTCCGATTAAATTTATAAAAGATAAACTGTTTTTGATATTTAAAGGAACTGTATACCTTTATCACCACTTAACTCAATATAATCCTTATAAAAATGTGCCACTATAATAAAAATTTCACGGTATTTACATCGCAAAAGGCAGCCGAATTCAATTTGCTCCTCGAACACCCTTCTGGGTTAAATATTCGCAAATGTTTCTCGGTCACACCTTTCCAATTCTACTAACGCCTTTTTGTGCCATTTACATAATTGGTTCTCGTAATTTCTTCATATTTCATTGTGACGGGGCCCGTTTAAGGCCTAATCTGGTGAATTATTTTACTTTTACCAAACACCAAGCTTTTTGGGTTAGTTCGAATGACTGTCGATTATTCTTGCGAAAAACAAATACAAAAACAGGCAAAAGCTGAGAAACACCGTGTCGGTAGTAAATCTGTGATAAAATTGGAGTTTCCAAAAAAAACATCGTGTTTTTAGAGATGTCAAATTGTTATAATTAATGGAAAAAACAAATTGCAAGAATATTTTAAGAGCGTGTTATCCAAAACACAAAATTATCGAAGAAATAAGGAAATGTTAGTTCCATTATTGCTTTGATAATCTTGATATATTTTATAAATGCACTGGGGTGCAAAATTAACCGGAGACTCAGATTTTAATATTAGACAAAATTTAAAAGTCAAATTTATTACAACTCAAGAATGTTACACAGAAAAAAAAAATGTTACACAACATCATAAATAATTCAAAAAAATTAAAAATCTGCAAAGAAAACGATATTTAGTAGAGTGTATTACTTCCACGAGCCCTAATTACGGCTCTCATTCGATCAGGCATTCTTCGAATTAAGGTAGCAAAGTATGCTTAAGCAATTTGCTCCCATTCGTCACAAACTGCTTGCTCCAAATCAATATGGTATCAAACTCACTATGGTTACGTCGAATACGTCGTCCCAGAATATCCATGCATGCTCTATTGGAATTAAGTCTGCACTCCTTGATGGTCATGTTGATAAACGAATCCCAACTTCATCCAAGTAATCTAGTGTTATTCTTGCGATGTGCGGACGAGCATTATCTTGCATCAAACGAAAGTTTTCTCCAATAAATGGGACAAATGACACTACATTGTCTTCCAAACATTGCTGAATATACCGTTGAACGTTCAAACTGCCCCCTTGAATTGTAGCAAGTTCTGTATGAGCCTCTAGGAAAATGACTGCCCACATCATTATACCACCTCCACCAAATTGAACTTTCGGAGTAAAAGAACATTGCTGATATCGTTCCCCAGCTCTTCTTTATATCCTATGCCGCCTATCCGATGAGTATTTGTTAAATCTTTATTCATCCGTGAAAAGCACAGCAATCCAATCGTCAACACCTCAATTGATGTTCACGAGCGAAGTGTAAACGTTGATTCCGATGATCAGCTGTTAATAGAGGTTCCGTGACAGGTATTCTGGACCTTAATCCATATTCATTTAAGAGTCTTAGAACGGTATATACGGAATGATTTAATCGTCGAACAAATACTGGTGCTGATAATGTACGATCGCGTAATGCTTGTAACCTAAAAAAGCGATCTTTAACTTGACTTCTGGTTCTTCGTCTACCTTGACCTAGCCTCCTGGTGTATTGTCCCGAAATCTTTGTATTGCATCACACACTGTACTTCGAGAAATTCCTAAAGCATTTGCGATGTAACGAATGCTCCGCCCATCATCCTGTAAGGCAACAGCTTGTGCTACTTCTTCTGGTGTCATAATTTTTATTAATGCAAGGTTTTAAACAGGAGAGAATACAAAAACCTACAGCCGAACTTATAATCAGGTACAGTACCACAATAAACTTAAATTATTACTAAGCCACTATTTCACATTAATAACAAAAGGAATATGTAAAAGTGTTGTAGTTCGCAAAAAACATCTAAACAGAATTATAGTTTATTCGTCTTCCGGGTTTGGACCGTGTCATTTGTGAGTGACCCAAAAGTGGGTTCATCTCACAAGAGAATGATGAACTCACTTTTGGGTCACTCACAAATGACACGGTCCAAACCCGGAAGACGAATAAACTATAATTCTGACTCTGGCCGTGGAAGCCTACGATTTCATTTAACATCTAAACAGGTTCAAACAAAAAAAAACGTTATCGCTAATAAGTCACGAAATACAATTCAAACAAATTAAACAAGTTTCGATCTAAACACCAACAAAAAACAAAAAACCTTGAGTGTCCGGTTAATTTTGCACCCCAGTGTATATAGAAAATGATTAAAGTTCAGGCTTACCTTTAAATCTCTGTGTACTATATTACGATTGTGGCAGTATTCTACAGCTGACAGGATCTGCCAGAACTTATTCCTAGATTGATCCTCAGTCATTCGACCGTACCTGGCAATGTAATCTAAAAAGAATAAGGGTCAGTTTTAAAAAAATATTGTTGCATAAACTGCCTTATTTTAATATATTATTAAAAATTTTAAAACAATGTTTAACATAATCAAATTACTTCTCCCAATGCCAATATTGTTATGGAAAGAAGCGATTCAATCTTCTTATATTGGATATGGTACACTGATCATCGCCACGTACAAGTGGCCAGGTTATCAGACAACCAATAAACGAAACGTATTGTTGAGTGAAGACCAAGATAAGAAGCACTACAGAGCAGAGGACGCCAACCAACCAGATGAACTGACGACCTGAAGTGTGTTAGCAGTTACTGGATGTAAGGCCGCACAAGTCAGAGGCAGATGGAAAGAGCTTAAAAAGACCTAGCAGTGGACGCATACAGGTTGATGATGATCATGACATTGATGACTCAAAAACATCGGAGGGTGTAGGAGCAGATATTGTAGGGATTAAGCAAGGGATATATATCACGGTAAGTCTAACTAAGGATGTCTTCTTCTTCTTTTTACACATCCTTATAAGCAATTCTGCTTGTTCATTGACGGATTAATACCTCTATGGAAGGTTGTCACTTTTTCTTTTGCGCGGTCGTCCGATACTTCTTCTGCCGATTGGTGACTTATCTCTTGCTATTTTGATGCTCCGTTCGGCTCGCGGAGATAAGAATACGGCCGAGGCCAGAAGACCCTGGCTGTCGTATGAGGCGACTAATGGGAAGAAAATGAGAGGTGAAGAGCCGTCGTTCGAGGTATCGGGTTTGTAGAAACGCACTCGACATGCATATTCATCTTGGTCACCGATCTACCCTCCTAGTATCCAAGACGAGCATCTCGTGGGACCACTCTAATCTCATTCCACAAGAGCCAGGTAAGGTGGAACGAGCTGGGCCCGTAAATACCTCTCACGGGCTTACACCACCGAGAGTGGTGTCGGTGTCCCGGCACGTACCTACCTGGAATGATTTAAGGGTGATAGAAGAGTGATCCTCGGCGGCGACCTGTCTATGTGCGAGGTCTAATTCCTCCGCCTGCGTCATCTTTCCGTCCCCCTGGGGGGATCTCTGAAAGGGTGACGTACTCGCAACACAGGTACTACGGATAAAGTGAAGCCCCACGATCTTTCGGCATCGTGCTGCCTTATTTGGTATCGGACTCGCAAGAGCAGTGGAGTCGCTTACGGTCGTATGCCGAAAGGCCAGGAAGACCTGGATCAGGCACAAACCTCAGGCTCTGCTATTTTGAAGACAAGGGTCTCCTCCATTCTGCTTATGTGGTTATCTATTCTTTTTTTATATTTTGTCCATTCATATATACACTGTACGCTACATTTTCTTCTAACGTCTTTACTTCTCTTTCGATCTCTAAGCGTATTTTCTGTAATTCTTCTGAGTGCTCTCATCTATGCCGTTTCCAGTAGCCTTTGCGTTGTGCCTATGTCGGATCTTGTTTCTGAGGCATATGTCATTATTGGTCTTACACTGACTTTATACATTCTTGACCTCATCTCAGTGTTAATTTGTCTGTTTTGTCATATAGTGTTATTAAGGCAACCTGCCAGTATTTTTGCTTTTTGTACTTGATCTCTCACTTCTTTGTCCAGGTCTCCATAGCCAGACAGTGTAATTCCGAGCTATTTTATTTCCATTACTTGTTCAATACCGATGCCATCAATTTCAATTTTACATCTGGTTTATACCTCTGTAGTTTTCTGGCTGTTGTTATCTCCTTTTTTGAATAGTAAAATTAGTTCGCTCGTTGTAAGTTCTTCCGGTATTTTATTGTGTTTTATAATTTTATAAATTAATGTTGTTAATTCTAATTGTAACGTCTCAGCAAGACTACTGAGATCATAAAAAGCATCAAGCAGAGAAAGCTGGAATATTTCGGACATGTAATTAGGGGTCCTAAATATAGGTTGCTACAAAATATCATGCAAGGAAAAATAGTAGGCAAACGCAGTCCAGGACGAAGAAGAACCTCATGGTTGAAGAACTTGCGAGGTTGGTATGGTGTAGATACAAGCATGCTATTTGGGGTGGCAGTGAATAAAATTAAAATAGCTATGATGGTAACCAACGTTCTGAAAGGACATGGTACATGAAGAAGAAGAAGAATGTTGTTAATTGTTCTGTCATTGCTGCTCCACAATATTTCAGTAATTCGTTTGGTATCCCGTCTTTACCTGCTGCTTTTCTGTTCTTCAGGTTTTCAAGTATTTTCCCAACTTTTCTGTGTTTTGGTCATATTAGTTCTTTTACCTCCGTTCGTTGACCTTTTATGAAGCTCGAATCTAAGGATGTCATAGAAGATAATTTCTGATGAATTTATCTTCCACTTTCTACAGCATATACCATAATAGCAATGTCAGAAGTATAGAAAAGATAAAGAAAGTGTTATGTATGGGCCTGGCAAGTGATGGTACTGGTAGTCTCGCTGTAATATACATTCTGATCTACTCTCTACTGATTCGCCTGTTTATCTACAGAAAATACCTAACTTTCTAACAATTTTCATTTTTCGGTACAGCTTAAGTTACAAAGGTATATTTTAAGAGAAATCATCCTATATTCGATACATTTAAGAAATCTTCCAGTAGTGTTTTCTGATCTTCTTAATGTCATCAGCTTATCTCATTTGTGGTCTTCCTCTGCGTTTTTTTTCTAACCATGGTCTCCATTGTTGTATTTCGTAGTTCCATCTCTTATCCTTCAGTCGGGCTCCATTTTAATTTGGCAGCATATTCTCCTGCGTGTTTTACTGTGGTTTTGCTTCTAATGCATTTGTTTGTTCTTTTGTCTATAAGTCTACTCCGAGCATTAATCTTTTTTCATCGCTCTTTGTGCTTTTACTATTTTACCCATATTAGACTTCGTGAGTGTGCACGTCTGTGAACCATACGTGAGTATAGGAAGGATGCACTGATCGTAAATTCTGGTCTTCAAATATTGTTCTATTTTAGTGCTTTTCCAGATCCAACTCAGTTTTTCAAATCCTGCACACACTAACTTTATTCTTCTGGTGGTTTCTGCAGTTTGATTTTCTTTGCTAACTTTCATTATCTGTTCCAGGTAGACGTATTTGCTTACTGCTTCTAAATTTATGGCGTTCAACGTTACGTTTCTAATGTTTGATGTATTTGTCATTATTTTTGTTTTTTGCAAGTTCATTTTAAGACCTACTTTTTCCGAAGCTTGAAGTAGTTGCGTCATCATGGTCTGTCGTTCTTCGAAACTTATAGCGAATATTACAATGTCATCAGCATATCTCAAATAACTCAGTTTTCTTCCACTTACATTTATTCCTTTATCTGCCCAGATAATGTCTTTAAACACGTCTTCCAATCCAAGTGTGAATATCTTTGGTGAGATAACATCTCTCTGGCGAACTCCTCTTTTGATTGCTATAGCTTTGGTTTTCTTTGAATACCTCTTCCAATCTAAGTGTGAATAGCTTTGGTGAGATAACATCTCCCTGGTGAACTCCTCTGTTGATTGGTATAGCTTTGGTTTTCGCATATATTTATATTTTCATCGCATCTTGGCTTATCATTGACCCTAAATACCTAAAAGTTTTACAAGTATAACAATTTCGCAACCCACTACGCACCACTCGCTTCCTTCCAGTTCATTCACCTCGCTCTTACTCTACTGCATGTATCTCCATCTATTTCCACATTACTCTGTATTAGAACTCCTAGCTCTAAACTGTTATCTTTCATATCATAAAAAACTTTTATTGAATAAAATAAATAAATTCGAATCATATTTTTGAAATAATGTTAACTATACTCACATATAATAAATGACATGTTTCTGCACACGGTAGCATCTTGATTTGTACTGTAGCGTCTTACAAAGCCAGAGTGTGAAAAATGTCATACATATGTAAATATAGCGGAATACTTCTGTCATATTTATTCAATTTAGAAATGAACCAGCAAAGGATCTAAAATATGAACGCTATATTTGACAATACCACGCTCTATTTTATCTTGGTATACTGTATAGAAAAAAACAACCAGAGAGATCCCGTCTTCGCTGTAAATATATCGGTGGTGGTTCAGGGACGCATCTTTGTATATTGTGTGCGTCGATTTAAGATCCCCGTCGTGTTCGAACGTATCTAGCGCGTCTTGTGACGTCAGAGCGTCAAGGTCTTGCGTAGGAGTTGTAGACGCATAGGATAACAGTTTCTCGCCACACTGATATCATTTTTCGAGCTGGTAAACCGGTCAATTATAAGGATCATTGGGACGGAATAAACGGTTTCGTAGTTTAGTAGGCTACGTTTGAATTTTGATACATTTAGTTAAATTGTATCATTACGTTGTGATATTAAAACAGGAGTTCAAATAAGATATTAAATTAACAAAAAAAATTTTGGTAATATTTGGTACACAGTTAAAAAAATTTCGGTTTTAGTTTGAATAAGATTTAAAAATACTATTAGAGCAGAACACGTATCCAGAAAAAGAAGTTTAGCTCCAGTTAACCTTCTAGTTAAAATAAATATAAACCAGAATCAATGTAAAGTTGTAACTGGTTTGGCATTTCGGCCTCTAGATCGAAAGCAGTGTTAAAAATACGTTTTGAAAAATAAGTTTTAGAAAATTAAACAAACTACTTTGTTTTTGTTGCTTTTCAAACACATTTCCTCTTATAATTTATTTGTTATAGACTGCCGGAGTGATGACGTAGATTTTATTGACATCTGTCAGTTTCACTTTACAAACAAACCTTGTTTAGTGTGGATAATTTGTATTTTTCGTTATTTTTTCATTTTTTTACAGAATCTTTCTGCTTTTTGCAATATCCAAGTATTCTAATAGTTACTACAACAATTTTACAAGGTTGTGTAAATAATAAAGTATGTTATTTTTATAAAAATAGCAATAAAATGCATGTATCAATAAAGTAAAGTTAAAATTTCATTAATTTAAACTTTTAAACTATTTTTCATAGAAATATAACACCGAATTATAATGGTATTATCGTAAAAAATATTATACTTAAAAGAAAAAGCAGCAGAGGAAAGAAAATTTTAACTTCATAGAAGTTAAATAGTCTTGAGATTAGGCGTTTCAACTTTTGTTTGGAAAGTAATAATAACAAAATGGTCGTTGTGACGTCACACTCCGGCTGTCCATTTTCATGATCCCTAAATGTAGAAATAATGAACATGAATCTTACATTCACATATAGGGTACCAAAAGTTACAAAAAACGGATATTGCATGTTTGTGCATAATGTAGCAATACTATCATCGATACAAGAAGATATCCAAATAAGTGTAACAAAGGTTTAAACAAATTGGAGGTAAATATATTCAGGGAGAATTCAAAAGTGGTGGTCATAGTATTTTAATACTTAAAAAAGACAATTGAAGAAACTCACAAACAAGAAGTACAGATAAATCGACACATAAAGCCAATAATATAAAAAGCAATAGAAAGAAAAATTGTCATTCAGCCAGTCTCAATCAAGATAACTTTATTAATGTAATGTGTGTGTGTGTGTGTTTGTGTGTGTAGAGTAATTGTCTTGATACTTAGCAAAGTCGACGTCATTGTCTTTGCTAAGAGACGCTTATTGTATCCGAACGTCCCTCCGGTGAGTACCGATCACACAAGGATAGAAATTATTTTCATTTATTAATTTTTTTAATAAACGAAAATTTCCACCCAGGTGAGATTCGAACTCACGACCTTTAGGTTTAAAGGTAGGCGCTCTTACCACTGAGCCACAGAGGGGGTATTTTAGGGGTATATAGATCTATTCTTACGTATAAGTGTAAATAATGTGTACTAAATAAGCAACAGTAAAGTAAGATACGCGACAGAGATGAAATATTTACGAAGGGTACAGGGAGCAACTGGAAGAGATTAGATAAGAAACAATGTTATAGGAGATAAAATAAAATTAGTCGATGGCACAGTATGTTGAAAAATATGTAATTAAGTTAGTGAGGTCATTTTCAGTGACTAAAAAATGAAATAACGGTGAAAAAGATATGAGAAACTAAAGCTCTAAAAAAGGGAGAAAGACGTAGGAAGACGTGAAACCATGTAATAGCAAAACAATTTGACAAACAGACAGACTTTTTCAAGTCACAATAGGTAACTTTAAAAGTGTCCAAATATAGCTTAGCCATGGACTGCAACAGGGATATGTTTTGGCACCCTTACTGTTTAATTTATACATCGCGTACCTACCTGGAACAACTTCGCAGAAATTTGGCAACGCTGACGACTTAGCCATTGCAGCAAGACATAATAACATGGATATTACATAAAAAATACTAATGGATGACCCTGCCGTTATGGGAGAATACTTTTGCAAATGGAGGCAACGGCCCAATGCAACGAAAACCGAAGTGTACTGTTTTCATCTGAACAATGCCCGAGCCAACAAAAAACTATCTGTTGACTTTGAAAACAGACTGCTCACTTATAACTCAACACTAAAATATTACAAAACATTAAGTTATAAAGAACACCTACAACGAACGGTAGCTAAACTGAAAGCGCGAAATAATATGGTCCAAAAGCTAGGTGGCATCACATGGGACTCCTCAGCCTCCGTAATCAGATCATCCGTTCTCGAACTTGTATACTCAGTGGCTAAATATGCTTCTCCGGTATGGCTCAATAGCAACCACACGAAGATTATTGACATCCAATTAAACCAGACAATGCGAATAATCTCTGCTACAATTAGACCCACACTGAACTATTGACTTTCAATTCTGGGTCACTTTCCACCGCCGAAATCCACCGAGAATATCGAAAAATCGAGACTTGCCATCAACGCGGTATCAAAACAAACAGACTGCGCTCCAGATATCCTCCATTGTTAAGAGCCAACTCCTTACATTAGGCACATTTCAACTTCACCAACGCTTAGAGAAGACAATGAGAGAGAGAGAGAGTGACTTGCCACAGGAAGCACACCAAATGGCTTGTATCAATCAGAAATCACCAGGCTTTGATCTGACCCGTAATACATGAACAATACTAAACATAATAAGAACAAGCATTAGTAGATGTGCTGACAGCGTATATAGATGGGGAAAAGCCCTTACTCCTGAGTGTGACTATGGTGCGCAACCACTGACTGTCCGTCACATTGTTGAAGAATACCCCCGAAAGCGATTTCCTGGAGTTTTCCATGAGTTCCTGAATGCGACCCCGACAATGTTTTACATTATATTAATAATACATGAGACGTTTGTTTGTAATACTCGATGTAACGTTTTATATTGTAAAATAGATAAAAAATTTAAAGGTGGATAAATCGTCAATGACCACAACGTGAATATTGATTTAAAATTCTTATTGCTGGAAAAGTGCAATATAAATGTAAAGTACTAAATTGTATGATAAATGAGCTCATTTATTTTCTTTTTCGTGTTTTATTTATTGTTAATGCACGAAATATTTGTTGTCCGATATTGATTTATAGTAAAAATAATATTCATCATAATTTATTGTGACATAAAATGAAAAATGAAGATAAAGCTAAAGAAATTTTCAACAAATATATGATATATTTTCATTTATTTTCTACATAAAGCGCAATATATATAATAACATTCTTTTTCCGCAAATCGCCAGGAAATTTTGACATTCCTGTCAAAATTTCTTGAAGAAAAAGTCAGGACTTCCTTACTGTAAGGAAATGTCATTTCCTTACTGTTGGAAATGATATTTCCGTACAGTTGTTAGTGTTCTACATAAATGATAGAAAACACATTGCTTATAAGGAATATATAATATAAAAAGATATAATATAAAGGATATATCGAAGAATCGCCTAACAATAAGGTTGAGGTGGCAAATAAAATTTTCACAGTACAAAATATTCAACAAAATGACACTTCCACCCTCCATGTTGTCCAAAATGTTTCTCATAGTTCTAAGAGTGTTCCTCCAATGTTCAATAATTGTACTAACTGTCAAATTACTGTAAATATAACAAATTTCATCATCACTTATCATTTTACTTTCGAGAACACCATCAATTAAATTTATAAGCGTCACGTTTGACAATTCAACCTCAATACGTTTCCATAGTAACCCAAGTAATTTTATTAGGAATTTCAAAGCACCATTTATTTGGGAATAAAATTATCGCGTTTTTTTTTAAATCAATCAATACCTGTCGAATTTTAAACGATTTGGGGAAAAAAGTATGTTTACCTCGTAGGAAAAGCCACAATCCTGGACTCTGTGTTGCTAAGTCTCGGCTTGCGCCTCGACTTAGCAATCTTCACAGTCGTCCAGGAATGTTAAGCTTTTCCTACCCGGTAAACAATGTACTATTTTTTTTTTCATTCGTGTTTAGACAATCGCTGGCTCAGAATCAAAGCTGGATCATAAAAATGCAAAGATTGCGCTAGGCAGCTCATCTTATAAAAACGGATAATAACAAAAAAACAAGTGGATAGACCAAGTGAGTACCGATACTAAAGAGATAATGAGGATAAGCCAATGAAAGAGATGCTTTGAACATGATGCTGAAAGAGTCCAAGATCCGACTTGGGCTATATCACTATTGAAAAGAGAGAGAGAGAGAGAGAGAGAGAGAGAGAGAGAGATAGAGAAAGAGGGAGGAAGATAGAGAAAGAAAGAGAGAGCTTTTAATTATCTGGTTAAAACATCTACTTAACTATAAAGCGACCCTCATTATTGCCAAGAAATTAATTAGGTAAATAAATAAAAAAATATATTATTGATACAATATTGATTGAACCACTACACTTACCAAAAATTTCTCCCTGGCTAGCATATTCTGATACCAAATATATCATATTTTTGGTTTCCATCACCTGTAACAAAACAAAAAATTATCAGCTTAGTATACACAAAAAACGCATTAAACTGTACAAATGTAACGCCAGACCGTCATTTTTTAGATTATCCTATTAGAAACAACGCCAATTCTCCAGTTTACTAGAAAATCTTAAGACATTTTTTGGATCAACCCAAACAATAAGAAAAAATATAATATAAATATTCTTTGTTCTTTTTTATTCTTTCTCTAAAATTATTTCCAAAAATGTCTTAAAAAGTTCACAGTAATAACCTACAACGCACAATTAACTTTAGACTAGTATACAAGAAATTAACCAAAAAGTACAGGAAGATGAGAAGAAAAGTGATGTCGCAAAAGAATTTAAGATTCCTCTGAATACTCTGTCAACCATAATAAAGCACAAGTTGAAAATTAATGCTGCTTAAACTTCTGGAGTACGGAAAAGAACTACTAAAGGTCAATTTCCTCATCTGGTAGAAAGTCTGGTCATTTGGTTAAGACAGTGTAGAGGACAAAAAGTGTCTATTAGCGGAAACTTGTTGAAGGAAATAGCAAAAGAGTTCGCGTCTACTCTAAGCATCAAAAACTTTGCGGCAAGACAAGTGCAGGATGGCTTACAAATTTCAAAAAGAGAAATGCAGTTGTGTTTAAAAAAGATTGTGGAAAAAGTGGAAGTGTTGATAATGCAGTTTGCTTAGATTTGCACGGTAAATTAAAGACCTTGACTAAGAACTATGATGCCCGAAACATTTTTAATACTGATGAAACTGGCCTATTTTCAAATGTTTCTTACGACAAGACGCTTACTTTTAAAGATAAAAAATGTCATAGGGAAAAACATAGTAAAGAGAGGTTGACAATTTTACTTGCAGTAAATATGGACGGATCTGAAAAACTTAAACCCTTAGAGATAGGAAAAGCAATGAAACTGCGATGTTTCAAAAGTGTGAAATCGTTTTCTACGGATTATTGTGCTAACAAACAGCTTATAACGGCAAAAGTGGAAAACTTTACTATTTTTAGATAATTGCACTATCAACAACAGTCCTCCTACATTGTCCAACATGACGTAACTCTACTTTTTTCTACCAAATACAACTTCCAAATTGCAACCATTGGACCAAGGGATCATCCAAGATGTTCTATCGCAAAGAAATTGTTAAGCTCGTTTTAGAATCTCTCGACAAGCAGCTAACTGCAAATATCACGGTTCTGACTGCTATTTTACTGATTGGCAAGACATGGAGAGGTGTAACACCCCTACCAATTCTTAATATCAACTGCTTGAATACTTATGGATGATGAAGAACCAGCAATAGAACCATTAGTTGACATCAGTGGTGTGAGTTTGTCTAACTTTGTTGTGTATAAAGATGTTGCTGTTTCAGGTTCACTAACCGATGGCGAAATTTCATCTGCAACAGATGCGAATGAAAAAAAGTAACGATGAAGATGGTACGGTACATCAGAACCTTTGGCAGAGGTGTCAGTTAAGGACGCAAGATCCTTATTCAATACCTTACAAACCTGTCTACAAAACGAAAGTGATGAAAAAGCATTTCGAGCACATTTTCTCTTAAAAAAAAATTATTGAGCAGTCTGAGCAGCACCAATGTGCTTTGAAGCAAACCAATATAATACAGTTCTTTCGAAGGATTGATTAAGTCACATTATTAATACATAAACTAAACTTTTGTGATCGTTATAGAATAGCAGATAATAAATAATTGATCAACACTTAATAATTCGTAATATTTTAAGAATCCCTCGAATTAACGATAGTCGACTATATATATATATATATATATATATATATATATATATATATACAGTGTAGGTAAAATTTTATGGTCGGTATGGTAAAACTTAACAGGATATCTAACACAGATATAAAATCATATTTTCAGCGAATAGACAAAGATAACAATCATATTCCCTCTTGGTCTCCCCTCCATAAATCTTCTTGACGCCCATTTTGCCTGTTAGTGAGACGATTAGTTCCGATCAGAGATATTTTACATATTCTGTGGTTCCGATCCTCATAAAGCTAAGAAACTAGAGGTGGGTCCTTTAGTTTTTTAAATTTTAATCGGAACCGTTTTTCGTAAACTGTAACTAGTTGATTGTTTACCAGTATTCAAATTAGCGAGTATACAAACATATTGGCTATTATCGTTTATGTGTATAAGTATTAAAGTGAAAGAAACTAACGAAGAATATATTTATTATAACTTGAAAAATAAATTAAACAATACAAATAGTACTTACATTTACATGGACTTAAGTCATCTTTATCAGTTTCTTTTTCTTGTACTAGTCAATTTTCAATAGTATAATCTTCTTTTTCTTTTTTTTTTATAGAAGTAACCAGCTTCAACCATCAACTAGTTGATTTTAACGAATTTAACCGAAAATTTAGAGTTTAACACGGTTTAATTAGACTGCTGCCATTTTTCTGGAAACCATAATTAAGAAAACATCACTTTTAAAATTAGTGAAATTATTATTCAGGGGGTCTAAAACAAAAAGTAAATTTTGCAGTAACTGATAATGCCTCAAATATGGTCTATTAAATATGCTTTGGAATGAAAACATTTAAATTGATTTGCTCATTCGTTAAATTTATTGATGGAGGACGCACTTAAATGCTGTCGTGTACAAATAGATAAAATAAAAAGTCTTTTTTTCGACAATTCGGCAAAAAACACATTTCAAAAAAGTACCTTATCTTCAGAAACGCCTTTAAAGTATCAATTACAACATAACAAAGATCCCAAACGGCCAATCCAAGACGTGGAAACTAGGTAAAACTTCACCTATTACATGTTAGAAAGAATGACGGAGTTAGAAGAGGCAATCCGTTCCACATTGGTATCAGTTAATACAGACTTAGACTTAGACCAAATCTAAATACTGAAGACTGGATTATTTTTTCGTAATTGTCCTAAATTTTACGGCCTTTTAAAGAAATAACAAGTACAATGAGTGGCCAAAAATACTTGAATGATAGTTCAGTGATTGTTCTGGTACGCTGCCTGCAAAAATCTTGCAATAAAATTTTAGCAAACAGTAACCTTACATCCATAGTTAGTATCCGACGTAGTACGGATTTTTATTACTAATTACGGGATAATTACTAATCTCAGGTTTAGCAAAAAGATTTAGAGGGATATAATAGAGTGGCATATTGTCATTATGTACGTTTATGGATTCACGATTTAAAGTGCAGGGATTTTCTGATAAAAATGACGCTAAAAAAATAAAAGAAAGAGTTAAGAAGCTGGTTACTTCTATAATTAAAGAACAAGAAGATTGTACTATTGAAAATCAACCAGTATAAGAAAAAGAAACCGATAAGGATGACTTAAGTCCATGGTGTATTTTTGATCAATTAATTGGACATGACTCATCTAAACGTACACCTCAAGCGAGAGTCCATTACAATGGTGAAAAAACCATCGCCATGTATCTCCTAACTTAACCACTATATTCATAAAGTATTGTAAATGTGAACACATGTTCAAAATCAGGTTTAATTTTAAATAAAAGAAAAACACAATTAATAAGAAGTAAAGTAAAAAAACTTATGTTTTTAAATGTCAATTTAGACGATTCGTGATTTAATAATAACGTGTAATGTAAACGTAGGTACGATTTACTATTTGTATTGTTTAGTTTAGTTTTCAAGTTATAATAAAATCTTTTATTAGTTTCCTTCACTTCAATAAATATACAGATAAACGATAATAGCCATTATGTTTGTTTATGTAGGCAGTTTCTTACTTGAAACTACTATTAAAAAATCATAGTTACTTGTTTACGAAAATCGGTTTTGCGACGTCAATGACCCACCTCTATTCGTAAATACCTGTTTACCCTTTGATTCGGTGATTTGACCACGCGACACGCCACGTTGGCAAATAGTTTTGTACGAAGCTTTTTTATTTATATGCAGTTTAATATTTTTATTGGAAATAAGGCATAATGTCACTTTAAAATAAGCTTATTTTGATGTTTAGATTTTTAATTCGGAAATCGTTTTTAAAATACCAAACATTAATAAATTTTATTTATATAAAACGATTTCCGAAGTATAAATCAAAATGTTATATTACACTTATTGTAAAGTAAAATTGTGGCATATTCCCAATAGAAAACAATAAGCTGCCATTTAAATCCATTTCGCCCAAATTTCATTATCTTGGAGCATTGTTCAAATCCGAAAAAGACAACAGGTCAAATAAAACCAATAAGTTTGGCAACGTTGAATTTCCCCTTTTTATTATATCCACTCCATATCCACTCATTTATGTTCGGTGTTATAAAAGGCGGACACCTAATATATCTCTCTCTTTTTAAACAGTTGTTTCTCACTCCATCTCATGTAAGGTCCATACCGACCATAAACTTTTACCTATACTGTATATATATATATATATATATATATATATATATATATATATATATATATATATATATATACATTATATACTGCATGAAATTGGTTTTTGTTATAGATATATTCGGAAAAGAAATAAGACCATATCAAGAGAAAAACTCCGAAAATGACACTTCTTACGACGTTTTTTATTTTTCTACGAACAAACATCTTGAATCGATTTAGAAGAAATGTCAGCGTTTCGAAGCTGTTACACTTTTATTGAATATACATGTATACGAAAGCCTTCGAGTGTCGATATAGTTGACCATATATAAGAAAGAATTTTCCTATTTCTTGTCATTGATTTTCCCGGTGCGCAGCTCGGGAAAACATTAGTCTCAAAGGAAAAAAGTAGTATTTTAGTTTCTGCTTTAAAAAGGCTTCTGGAAGTGCACGACGATTGTTTAAAATTTCATTACTTCGGTTCTGAAAGGGTTAGTTGCACAAAGAAGCTGGATAAACAAGATAAAATAATGAATCCGGCGTTTTCTTAAAGCCTAGATTCGGATTAGAGCTTTGTAGATATTTATGAAATCATTATTATAATTGGGGGACACAACACAATAGCTAGA